AGATCGCTGCCCCCCTCCATGCTCTCACGTCCATAAAGGTCCCTTTTGTTTGGAATCCTGAGGCTAACTCTGCCTTCTCAGACCTTAAGGATAGATTCTCCCATGCTCCCATTCTCATCCATCCAGACCCCTCCAAGCAGTTCATCGTGGAGGTTGATGCTTCGGACACTGGCGTTGGAGCAGTTCTCTCTCAGTGTTCGGACCAGGACCAAAAACTGCACCCTTGCGCCTTCTTCTCCCGACATTTCTCTGCCGCTCAGCGGAACTATGATGTGGGGGACAGAGAGCTCCTAGCAATCAAGCTTGCCTTAGAGGAGTGGCGCCACTGGCTCGAGGGGTCCGAGCAGCCCGTGTTGATTTGGACTGATCACAAGAATCTCGCCTACCTCCAAGCCGCTAGGTGTCTCAATCCCAGGCAGGCCCGCTGGTCTCTTTTCTTCGCACGGTTCCACTTAGCAATATCTTACCGTCCAGGAACCAAGAACCAAAAGCCTGATGCTCTTTCCCGCCTACACGCACCCCTGGACTCGGAGGGAGAACCAGCTTTGGTCCTTCCCCCGACCTGTACCTTCGGGGCTCTTCATTGGGAGGTTGAGGACCTGATCGCCCAAGCTCTCCTTTCAGAGCCCGACCCTGGTAATGGCCCGCCAAACCGCACCTTCGTCCCGTCATCTGTGCGGTCACGTCTAATTCAGTGGGCACACTCAGAGAAGTTCTCTGCGCACCCAGACATCTTTCGCACACTAACTTTCCTGTCACGGCGTTTCTGGTGGCCCACTATGTCCAAGGATGTGAAAGAGTTTGTCCTCTCGTGTCCCGTGTGTGCGCAGAATAAGACCTCTAATCGCCCTCCTGCTGGCTTACTCCAGCCTTTACCTGTTCCTGAGCGTCCCTGGTCCCACATAGCCTTAGATTTTGTAACGGGCCTCCCCTCCTCACAAGGGATGACCACCATTTTGACCGTTATTGACCGGTTTTCTAAGGCCTGTCACCTAATCCCTCTAAGAAAGCTACCATCCGCTTTCCAGACTGCTCAGCTCCTGGTTCGGCAAGTTTTTCGCCTGCATGGTATCCCGCAGGACGTTCTGTCTGACCGTGGACCTCAGTTCGTTTCTCGGGTTTGGAGAGAGTTTGCCACCTCTCTCGGTGCCAGGTATACTCTCACCTCCGGCTACCACCCTCAGACCAACGGTCAGACAGAACAAATGAACCAGGAGCTGGAGACTGCCCTACGTTGCCTCGCTTCCTCTAATCCTTCTGATTGGAATAAGTTCCTCCCGTGGGTTGAATATGCCCATAATTCCCATGTTTCCACCGCGACCGGAGTATCCCCCTTCGAGGCCTCTCTAGGCTACCAGCCACCGTTGTTTCCTGATGATGTTAAACAGATCACCGGCCCCTCTGTTGACCAACATATACGCCGTCGTAGGCATTTCTGGAC